TGTTCCTCAGGTTCTAGTCTTCAGGTTTTCAGGTTCTGTTCCTCAGGTTCTATCAAAACGTCTTTTTCTTTTCGCGCGGCTCCACATCACAAACACCCGCCTGAACTGATTACGTCATCAGAGCTCGCCGGGTGGAACCATTTCTTCGGACCTGTGGGGGGGAACCGTCTTCGGTTTCAGACTAAATTCGTGTCTGTCCGTTGCGTCATGCGCACGTACATTCATCTGATTGTTTAATATTTAACATTAGGAAGATGACGTAACTGTTCTGACAACATCTACAAAGTTTCGTCGTCCATTAAAAAAAAAAATCCCCGTACGACCTCAGGGCCTCGTGACGTCACTGCGTTGCGCCACAGGAAGAAAACAAACAAGGAGCAGAAACAGATCAGTGATCGATTATCGGTTTTTCACCAATCTGCGGTAAAACACGCGGTTATTTTAGGTGAGTGTGACGCGGGAACAACATGAGTTTAAGCGGGAAGATGAAGTTAACGACACGAGCGACCCCGTGTGTCTGATCAGAGTAAATCTGTCGGTGAGTGTGAACACAACAGCTGCTGATAAAGTTTCAATCTGAATCTATTATCGAGAAGTGTCGTCATCGATTCGTGTGCTGATGATTGATATCCAAAGTTCGAGGAAACAGAACTCACTTTGTTTAACTGATTCATGGAAACTGTCCCTCAGTGACGTCATCAAATGTTATCCTTCGTACAAACATTACAAATCTGATGTTAAAATCAGTCGATGAGGAAATAAGTGTAGCAGTGAACTGAACCTCGACCTCTAGAGGTCACTGTTACATCATCACCTGTATTTCTGATCAATAAAGGTTCAGATTTTCTGTTTGTGTCTCATCTGATTAATAAAAACTTACTTTCAATATGTTACCATTGAATTCCTTGAAAAACTAATCAACATGTTTTAGTTTCATGTGACTGTTTTACTTTGGAGTGACAGTTCTTCTGTTTATTCCATTGTTATTAGATTGTAAGCTGCTTCCTTCACATTAACTGGACCATCTGAACTGATCTGAGCTCAGTCAGGTGACCGTGTCTGTGACCTTTGTGTGACCTCTGCAGGTTTGAGTTGACCTGTTCACCATGAGCTCCCGGGTGTGCAGGACCTGCGGGGGGGCGGATGTAGATGTGGACCAGGCGCGGGGCAGCGCTGTGTGTACCAACTGTGGCTCGGTTCTGGAGGACAACATCATCGTCTCTGAGGTTCAGTTTGTTGAGGGAAGTGGAGGCGTCTCGTCTGCTGTGGGACAGTTCGTCTCTGCTGACGGTGAGACAGACATTCTCCTTCACAGGTCCTCTTCACATGTAGAACACGTCGTTCGCAGAACAGCTTCCGCTCAGTCAAAAGCTAAAGTGTCCGATTTGTGAATGGAGTCAGTAATGTTTTGTTGAACACGCCAGGATCTGTAACATGTTTACAGATCATGCAGAAGAATTTCCAACCAAACTCTACTCAAAAACGTACTCAACAATTCAAAAAACAGATACACAAAAACTACGAAAACGCCACAGTCGACCACGACCAAACATTTCATAAAGAGAGTGTTTCCTGTTTGGTTCTTTCTTAACGATAGTTACACAATATTTTAAAAAGTCCTGATACTGATGATCATGTGGAGCTGATGAAACAAAACATCAAGGGTCTAGTTATTTGTGAAAAGTAAAGTCAACGTCTCATATTCACCATCTAACGTGACGTAGATTAAAATGATCCGTTTATCATTGTAATCTCAGATTTTTTTACCTTAACGTGTCTAATACTCTGTCATCTGATATTCCTAATATGATTTAATAGATTAATGTGGGATGAATGAAATTTAAATATTAAATGTAACTGACACAACGAAGACTCAAACAGCACTGTGGTTCTAACATGATCTGTTTTTTCAAACTGGACCTTTATTAAATTGTTTCTGGTCTTCATCAGCTGATCTGTTTACCTGGAACAAAACAACAGTTAGACACAAACAAAAGTTTCTGTGTTGTTGGAGTACTGAACTTTATAAGTTCTCCATTTGAGATGATTAAACATCTGAAACTTATGTCAAAGGTCAGATTGATAAGAACTTATTCTCTTATTTGAAACATTTCTAATTTTATTCATTATTTGAGTAAAACTTATTTGGATATTTAACAACATAGTCGTCCAAAGACATTTCAAAGTGTCAGATCATATCAGCACTCAGAGAAGTGGTTTTTTCATCATTTCAGGAGCCACTTTATAAAGTTCAAACAGAAACTCACATGAACATTAACAAAGTTGATTCAGGGCCATCAACAAAGATCGAGCGTTATGATGTCGAACCTCTCATGATGCCTTGGTGAACACTAATTCCATAGCGACAGCCACAGTCAGACCTCGTGTGGATCTGGAGGTTCTGCCGTCGGAGCTGGTTAGGAGTTTGGAGTCTTTCACTGTGACCAGGTCGGACTCTTGTGTGAGTTGTACCTGATGATGGGAGACGAGTAGTAAAACAAAGTTTTGGACTATGAAGGGATCAATAAAAGATCTGATTGATCAGGTGATCGTTCTCACCTGCTGACTGCCCAACATTTCTCAGAGCTGAAACAGGTTCCTGTCTCAAATGGTTTACTGTCTCAACCCCTGATTGGACCAGGTTCTGCTGTGGTCCCATCTGGGTCGGGGGTTGATCGGGGAGGCGCATCACTGCAGATTGTTGCACCTTGCCTTGGACACCACGAACACCCTGTTCCTGCTTTGGCGTTTGGAAATCTGTTTTCCTTCTAGTGATTGAACGTCTGCGGTCGTGAAGCCGTTTGGAGGTCCGGTGGTTCGGGTAATCGCTGACGTTCGTCAGTCCAGGATTAGACATTTGAGAGTTTACTTGTCTGATAGAAGGTTTCCGTTTCAGTTGATTTCCAGAAGACAGCAATTTGATCATTGGTTTGACTCTGATGTTCTTTACTCTGGACTGAAGCATCTCAGTGTTTCTTCTTTTCACGGACCCGGTTCTCTTTGGGTTCTGGTCGACTTGGCTCGTCGCAGTAGTCACAGTCTGACTGTCTACAGACTCCTGAGTATCAGTAGGAACAAGTTTCTCCTGTCTGGCGGGCAGGACTACTTTTCTGCCGGTTATGCTGATGTGGTCTTGGTTGTACTGAATTGAAGGTTTATGGACTGGTGGAAGCTGGGAAGCTTGAGAAGGATCATCCAGACTTTGAGGCCTTGTGTCCGTCTCACCATCTGATGACCCCTGAGGACTCAACTTCTGCTTCAACTCATGAAGAGTAAAATTGACTGTAAGACTTTGCAGGTCTTCATTTTGCTTGATTCCATCTTGACCAAGACTGAACTGGTTCCACTTGAGTTGTCGGACATGTTCATCTAAATTGTTGAGACCAGTAAGAGTTGGAGTGTGAGCTGAGCTGCTCCAGCTACTTCCTAATTGGTCAGCAGCTGCAGAATCAGCAGTGCTGCTGTAAGAGTCCAACACTGAGGCTGGGACGTAGTCCTGTGGTCCTGAATCTTGAGCTCTCACGTCAACAACGTTAAAACTCGCCTTGTTGAAGTCTGTTACCTGGTCGTTTCTGGGTAAGATAGAAAAAGGGTTGAATACATTTAGCTCCTCTGTCTGGGATGAGAGTTGACCAGGATCAGATAAAACCTTCCCTGCCATTTGAGTTTCAGGAGAAAGACTGAGGGTTGGAGAAGTTTGGATGTCTGAGGAGGAGACAACCACCTTGTTGTGTTGTGTTGGGACTTTGATGAAGCGGCTGGATCCAGGTTTAGGCCAAGGCCTAATGCCGGGTTGAAGCAGGGTCTGGTTCATCGGGGTATTGACGTCATTTCCAGGAACCTGCTGTAGACAGTCACGACCAGGGACTTTATTCGCTGAATCTGTAGAAAGATCCAAAAAAAGTTTTGAAACTCTGTCATTCAACCACACTCTTCATCCAGATGTGAATTACTCTGACTGGACCTTTAAGGCTCTCAAAGACTTCCATTGAACCAAATCCAGGAGCTCTGAAGACCCTTGATACAGAAAGCCTGTTGACTCCACTTAGAGGATAGAAGCACCTGACGGTCAACCTGTTCAACAATCAGAGGTTTTTCATCAACTGTGAATCTTTGTTTCAGCTGCTGTTTACGACAGAACTTTTTCCCCCCCACATATCAAGTGCGTTTCTTACTTAAACTGAGATTCCCTGGAGATGAAGTTCGGCCCGTCAGCGATCAGCTGTTTGTCGTGGATGATCTCGTTTTCATAAACCACGTACGACTCTCCGACCTTTAAAAAAAATTACTTAATTCAATTCCATAATCTCACTAAACTGACACAATCTGGACCAGACTGAAATTCTATCATTTAATTTGTATAACACGTTTCATACATCAGTGAGGCTCAAGTAGTGTTTACCTGATGACACCCACCAGAAAACATTTGTGACGTGATCAATAACTTATCAATGATTAATTGATCCTATAACTCGACTCAATGTCCGAACATCAGTGAAAACTATTTAAATCTAGTTTATTCACAGAGAGATGTTTTACGCTACTTTAAAATACCGATGTTCAGAATCATACCATGGCTCTGGTCCCACAGGAGTTCACATTGAACTCAAACAGAACTCTGGATCCGTCGGTCTGTTTGGATCGACAGGTGGCGTCCAGCAGACTGGTTCTTTCTGGCCGCACAGTGGGCCAGGTGGATGTCAGAGTCGTTACCACAGTGACGGTTCCATCTCCAGAACAGACTAAAACCACAGAGGGTTGGTGTTAACACTGTACCTGACACCGATCAGAGGTTTCCAGACCAATCAGGACCAAGGATCAACGACCAACAGATGAACCAGACTCAAGGTCTGAACTCGTCGACACGTTAGTCTGTTAGACTTCTTTACCTCAACACTTGAGCATCATTTGCAAACAACCTCTGGAACCTTTACTTCCTTTTATTTCTGTAATTTCTCAGCAACATGAAATAAAAAAGGTCCTCAGTGCAGGTGGACATTACCTGTCATGTCCTGAGTTTTGAAGAGGCAGCGTTTGGAGGTGGACGTCTGGACTGCCAGAGTTTTAGAGTCTCTCAGAAGTAGCTTAAATGTTCCATAAAAGAATGACAGGTTGATGTCCTGAAAAACAAACACTGTCACCTTAACGTCCCACCAGCCTCTGGTTTCAGGACAACCCGGCTGTACCGAGCATCGCACTGCGTGGACTTACTTCATAGGTGTATCCGATGGAGAAAACAGGGACGTCCAGGGAGGTTTTGTGGGTGTCTTTGAGGAGGCGGTACCCTCTCTGAGCTGCCAGCTGTGATGTCAGAGGCTCGTGGTCGACACCCACCTCCCAGAGACTCTGAGCTCGAGGCGGTCGAACCACGCTGAAGGTGATTCCTCCTTCAAAACACTGAGCCGTGATCTGTGGAGGAACTAGAGTAGAGGAAGTCTACATTTAAATGTTTGAACCAGGTTTTAATTTCCTGTTTATCTCAAGCTCCACAAGAGCTTGTTACTCCCTCAGTCCTGAACAGATGATTGGCTAAACTACAGGAAGCATTCAGCCCCCAGCTTTGCTCCGCCTCCTCCACTAGCCAATAATAACCAGCTGTTAAACTGTTTCACAGGAACCAGTGTCTTTGTAAAAATGCTTCGAATTGCTCAAGGTTTGGTGAATGAACAGCAACAGGACCTGTTCCATCTGTCAGTGGAACCGACGTGGAGGTTGGTGTATTCTAGCTTTTGTTTAAAAAGGTGAAATCCTCTCTCTTTTGAAATGCTGAATTGTCTCCTGTGTCGCAGTGGTCCCACGGCAGACCTCAGCCGAATAAGTTTCTTATTGATCAAACCCTTTGTCACAGCCTCCATCTCAGAAGCTAAAGATACAGGATTATCTTTATCTCTTCATTTTGATATAGACACAAACAGATATGACAAGAAAAACAAAGCTCAGGAAATGATGTACTCACATGCACTGAAGAGCCGAGCAGAGATGAACGTATGGTGGAAGTAAGAGTCTCTCTGGGGCACGATGGTTAACGTGAAGTTTATGTCGACAGAGTACTGAACAACACCTGCACCCAGGTACTGTGAGACAAACAGAACCTTCTCCTGAATGGCTGGGCATCATCGCAACAAACAACCACCATGATCAAAAACAACCGTGCAGTGTGGCGTCCTCACCATCCAGAGGACATCAGCGTCCTCAAAGGGCAGCTGCAGTTTGTACGCTCGGCTACCGTTAACATGAGAAACAAGACTGATGCTGACGCCTCGTTCAATGCTCCTTGACATCAGCTGCTTCCCATTGATCCACACTTCCTCCAAAACCACATCCGCGGGAATGTTTCCCAGGTAGACGCTGAACTTCACGTCATTACTGACGGTCTCTACAGGAAGAGACAAAGGATCCAAAGAAATGTCCAAACAGAAAAGACACCAAGTTAAAGATCATTCAACACTTTTCAGTTCAGTCTGAGAAGAACCAGGAGGATTCTGTTTGTAAAATAAAAATTTTAAACAGATGGGAGACGCGATGGGGACAAACATGATTTTGTACAATTTGTTCATGAAGTAGCGTGAGGCGTTCACTGCTAATGGAACCGAAGACTCACCGTCGACACTGAAGGGTGGACGGCAGAGCAGCGGCGTGTCGAGGACTCTGAGCATCCGGTGTCTGGTGATGATGCTGCTGCTGTCTTCAAACGTCAGAGAGAAGATGTGTTCGTACAGCAGGAAGATCACGTACAGCTCCTTGTACACGTTATCCTGCACCACACTCTGCACATAAGAACAAACTTAATTGGTAAAATGAGACGTAATCTGTGACTTGTTGCTCAGAATAAAACCCTTGTCTCCGTCTGAAGAGACTCACTTCACCTTTCGGTAGCCACCCTCTGCTCCAATAGGAACCACGATCTGGACCAGTCCGCCACGCCGGACCAGACTGAATCCTCTAGCGGTGGCGGTGGGTTGGTCCAGAAGCACACCCTCCACCCCCACACTGACGGTCTGACTTTCAAACCTTGTGTCCTCCTCCACCAGAGGCGTCATGATCCAGGGGACATCCCAGAGCAGTGAGACACCATTGAATGAACCAGAATCTGAAGAGGGACCCAGAAACATCATCAGCACCATCTAGTGTTTGGACAGAAAAGTGTGTGTGTGTGTGTGTGTGTGTGTGTGTGTGTGTGTGTGTGTGTGTGTTTCCACCTACTGACTGTACAGGACATGGACACATCCATCATCACCACCATTAGCTTTTTCTTCAAGAACACAGCGACCCGAATGAACTCTACGGGGACACCGTCCACCTGAGGACATGTGAAAATTTAAAGGCAACAAACACAGGGAAACGTTGAGCTCATGGTAAGAGACGATTCCTCAAGAGAAACTGTCAACTATCATGTCTGCAAAGTAAAGGAGATTCAACACCAGGATGGAGCAGAACACATTTTTGTAAAGATCTATTAATTTTAAAATATCACATGAACACTGTTTATTAGAATTATCTCTCATTTTTCAAAACACTTATTAAAACCAAACATCTCAAAAACACAACATTTTAACATCTTGTGTTTGTTTTAGTTAGTTAACACAAGTCAGTGTTTTGAAAATCGAGTTTAGCTTTTCCACATAAGATCATGTTAGATTAAGATTATTTAACCCATCCGTGTGAACGGAGCACACACGGAGCACAGTCCACACACTGACCACACACGGAACAGTGGGCAGCCATGAAGGCGCCCGGGGAGCAATTGGGGGGTTCGGTGCCTTGCTCAAGGGCACCTCGGCAGTGCCCAGGACTGCTGGACTTGAACAGGCCACCCTCCGGTTCCCAAGCCAAGTCTCTATGGACTGAGCTACTGCTCGCCTGTGACTGGTGTGTGCCAACAAGGTGACCCACCATGACAACCTTGGCATGTCGCTGTTTGTACTGGGATCGCAGCACCACCCTGTGGCTGGTCGTGGTGAGGCTGTAGCCCTGCGTCTGGGCCTCACTGATGGACATGGGAGACACGTGTCCATCGCTCTGCAGGAACATCAGCTGCCACACTGACGACGCAGTCATCTGAGCCTGAACCAACCAAAACACCATCAACACTTCAGAGTGTACTCCAGCTGCGCTCTTATTTTGGTGAATTTATTTCAGAAGGTGTGTTATAGGTCATTTAAGAAAGAAAAAGGATGATTTACTTCGAAAACTTTGCGGACATTGTTATCTGTCTTCAGATCTATGATGTGATGGTGTGATCTCACCTGAGAGAAGGCCGCCTGCCACACATGTCCACTCTCCCCCCGCTGACCTCCACATGAAGACTCTCTGTTCACGTTCACCTGCTCGACAGGTGAAACCAGATTTAAAACATGACCACTGACAGGTCAGGGGTCAGACAGGTGTCCTCACCTCCATGTAGTCCTCCTCACAGACGACCTCTCTGTGTGTCCACGTCAGACCAGAACACGTGGCAGAGACAGGTGTGCTGTTCCATCCGCTGCCGCCATCACTCATGATCACGTTGAATCTGAAGGTGAACACTTCGTCGTTCTGGAAGAAAACAGAACCTCAGAACAGCTGCAGTGGACCTGGAGAGTGTGGCTCAGGTGAGGTGGCCCGGCAGTGACTCTGGTGCAGTCCTTACCTGGGTGTGGGTGAAGCAGGAATAATATGAAGCTCTGAAGGTGGTGAAGCCGTCCATCCTAAAGGTGCTGATGGTGTAACCACAGCGAGAGGCAAGCCTCTCACTGATCCAGTGGACGCCATTTTCATCTGCAACAGAGAGACAGACAGTGTGACATCACAGCTGTGAAGTGTCACTTTGTGTTGAGTGAATCTCAGAACTGACCTACGGCCTCAAAGCGAGGCGTCTGTACCGACGCCACCTGGATCCACAGGTAACGGTCCCGGCACTCTGACTGAACACCAGTCTCCACCAATCCTGACGAGTCTGAGGAAATAATGAGGTCAAAGGTCACTGACCTGCAGCGTCAACATTTCTGTGTCTCTTTAAATTTGAAAATGAAAAGACTACATAAACCAGTTCACCTTCCACGTGACCTCCAGCTGTTCTGTCTGTGAACCCAGCACAGGTAAACACGAGTCTGACAAGAAAGTGGAGTATCGTCTTTAACTGGACAGGTGAGAGGCTGCAGATGTGTGGTTCACCTGGACAGTCGTGTTGAACTCACCCCAGAATAAAAGCTGCAGTTTTCATGTCGAAGCAGAATCAGTGTCTGGAGCGTTTCCTCTGCAGCCAGGTGAGCTAATCACCTGGTCACCATGGTAACAGAGTGGGCATCCCAGCTGAAAGTGATAGTGTGATTACAGGTGGAGCTGCAGCAGACAGGAAATGACACAAGCTGTCAATCAAATGGCCTCTGCTGCAATAATTTAGATTTTTTTATAATAATAATAACTGTATTTGTATAGCGCTTATCTAAACCAAGTTACAAAATGCTTCACAAAAAGAAATTGCAAGAAGAATCAATTATAATAAAATATATTAATAATAATAATGATATTTAATTCAGTTACATTTTTTGGTCCATGGAGCAGCTGAAGCGTCACATCTGTGAGACCGGTGGTGTCATAAAATAATATCTTCAATTGAACGTTGGTGTCATCAAGAGTTTCAGCCTATTAATGACAAAAACATTTGAAAGAGGCTGAAGGTAAATCTGACCACTGGCTCATATGGCAGTGCTATGAAAGCCATGTGGCCCGTTCAGTAGATCAGACGTCGTTACCTCTGTGCCTTTTTTATTTATTTTTATTTTTAATGAACACTGTTTTCAGTTTTAATGGATTAATACCTTCACTTCTTTTTCAGGTCCAGTTAAAGCCCCTCTTCTTGGTTCTGGTTTCCACACCAGTGTTGGTAAAGAGTCCAGAGCCCAGACTCTGCAGAGTGGTGAGTACCTTCAACATCCTCATCATCAGCACTGATCTGTCTTTTGTGTGTCAACAGAACCTTGTCTTTCTTTATTTCTAAATTATTAAAAATACATGAACATGACTGTAAATGAATTAAACACATTTTAATGCTCCCATTCATTAATCCATTCATAAAGGTAAATAAAGGGTGAGGATCAGGTGTACCTGTGTCTCTAGACTTACCTGTGTCTCTAGGTGTACCTGTGTCTCTAGACTTACCTGTGTTTCTAGGTGTACCTGTGTCTCCAGGTGTACTTGTGTCTCCAAGTGTACTTGTGTCTCCAGGTAAATAAAGGGTGATGATCGGGTGTACCTGTCTCTCCAGGTAAGCGTCAGATCCAGCAGTTGGGTAGTCAGTTGCAGTTGAACCAGCACTGTTTGGACACGGCCTTCAACTTCTTCAAGATGGTCGTCAGTAAACACCTGACTCGAGGACGCAAGATGGAGCACGTCATCGCTGCGTGTCTCTACCTGGTGTGTCGCACCGAGGGGACACCACGTATCCTAACATGAACTCTGTGCGATTTAATATTTAGTTGTAGTAGGTGAAGGCTCTTCCTTAATTGTGCTGCAGACATGCTGCTGGACCTGAGTGACCTGCTGCAGGTGAGACTGACCTTTCACCTGCTCACACTTGTTACCCCCTGCACCTGCTCACACCTGTTTCTCATGTCCAGGTCAACATTTACATCCTGGGAAAGACGTTCCTGCTGCTCGCTCGTGAGCTCTGCATCAACGCTCCAGCAATCGGTGAGAACCGTAAAGAAACATGTAATTTAACTGTCAGAAGAAAGTGTGAGATATTTACTTCAACCAAACAGGACTTTATAACACAATCACGTGTCTAAAGAAAATGTTAATGTAATAAAATCATCCTCGACAGACTCTTCTTAGTTAAGAAGGAGCTCAGACTGACCTGGAGTCAGCTGATCCTGCAAAGAAAAGAGCAGTTACACTACATGTCCCATCAATCACTGTCTTAAACAGGTCATCAGTAAAATCTGGCTCTTTGGTGACAGCGAGTGGCAGCTCCACAAAACTATAGCAGACTTTTCAGGACTTCTCAAAGAAACGGCAACGCATTTTAGTTTCTGTCACTTTAATGTTCAGTTTCATTTCCTTTCAAAAGCACAGACAAACCAAAGAGCTAATCAGCTTCAGTCCTACAACAACGGTCCAATCAAGATGCTTTCAGACTGAACTCCTCAGGTCTCTGGATCTTCTCTGGAGGACAGTGAGACTCAGTTTGTCTGTCTCCTCCTTCACTCCTGTATAAAGTCCAGGAGAAGTGAGGACACAGCAGAGCGTCCTCCATTGAGTCACTGAGGGAGTGGGGGGGTGATGAGCTTCTAACATGTGACACAAACATGAAGAAACACAAACAAATGTCTCTGGAGACAAAGTGCTGACACACACGTAGAAGACAGACGAAGACGTGAAGACAGTTTGTGGTGATAAGAGCTGACGACGGTGTCAGGTGATGTAAAGATGATCACATGATCACTTCCTGTCTGTCTGCTCCACCTCTCACCTGAAGAACGAGGAGGATCTGATGCTGAACGAGTCTGAGCAGAAAACCTGCTGCTGAGTTGTTCAGCTGTGAAACATGAACTCTGGAGACGAGTCTCTGGAGACAAGGGTCTCTGGGGACGAGTCTCTGGGGACGAGTCTCTGGGGACACGGGTCTCTGGGGACGAGTCTCTGGAGACGAGTCTCTGGAGACGAGTCTCTGGAGACGAGTCTCTGGATTCTACCTGGAGCTCATGTCTGAGGACAGCTTCAGATTCCAGTCCTACGACAACACTTCATTCAGAATAAGCAGTGGTGACAGTTTTTGGCCCATCGGGATGTTTCAGCAGAAAAAGACCATCTCAGGGATCTGACCCCCCTGCACTCCAGTCCCATTGGTACTATCTGATGAACACTGGAACTGGAAAGTCACTGTCCCACACTGCACCTCAGTCATCCCCTCCTGTCCAAAGTAACTGAGCTCATTTCCGTCCAGGACGGCACTGACTGTGTAGAACGTGTCCGGTTCCACCTGGACTGGATGTTCGAACCACACAGGAAACGTACTGCTCGAACCGTCTGACAGGAATTTGGTGAGGTTCTGGGCCAAAATGGTTCCCTGCCTCTTCAGTTCAATCTTCACGCTGTACTCTGCCTTCCCGCTGCTCGACCCATACAGGCCCAGTCCAGCAATGAAGATTCTCTTGTCCACCGCAAACTGGATGCTGTCACAGCGCCCCCTGTAGCGCCACTGGTTACTGCGGTAGGCTGAGGACTGAAAACGATGGCACCTCTGTGGCGTCAGGCCGGCCCGCTTCACCAGAGGGAACTCCAGTCTAGGTTTGTTGGAGGCTGTGAACCACAGGAAGATGTCGCGGGTCTCTTTCAGTGTTAAAATGTCCGACTGCGCTGCAACATCTGCAAACTCCTGCAGCGTCATGGAGGCGAACCGGACCAGGTACAGAGCCTTACCTAGCACCACCCGCTGGTTCCTCGGGTTCACCGCCAGGCTCTGCCGCTGACACTCAGCCACTGACCAGTTCAGCACTGCCTGGAAGACCACCACCTCACGGACATTGAGCGTGTCTCTCTGCAGGATAACCTCCAGCGTAGGCATGTCGATCTCACAGAAACCTTCAGAACACAGAGCAAGCTCAGCTTGAGCATCGATCACTTCCCAGCAACGCTGCCTCAGCTCCGGCTCCTCAAACAGACAGCTCTGAGACAGCAGGATGCAGGCGTTCTTTGCCTCCAGACTCGTCTCCAGGAAGGTCACGCACGCCTTCGCCAGAGCAGGAACAATGTACTTCTTTGCAGCATAGAGGGTAGCGAGCACAGTATCGGCCTCCAGCTCAATCCCATCGCTGTACATGTACCTTAAACACAGAAAACGAGATTAAGATTACGCTGGTGTTTAGTGGTTCTGCACATTTCTGTCTAGAACGTCTGGATCACTCTCATAGAGCACAGAACCGTTGGTAGGACACTTCGGTCTTCCCTCACTGAGACTCCTCAGGATTCATGACAGTCGACCGCAGGAGCAGCAGGTTGGACAACACTCACTTTAACAGGATGAGGAAAGCCGTCGGCTCCACGTCAGGGATGTGGATCTCAGATTGTCCCTCGGCCAGATCTCCATAAAACATGGCTCCAAACACCGAACTGCCCACTGCCAGGACGTACTGCAGCACAGACAGGGAACCAATCAGAAAGAGTCTGAGCCTTACAGGGCAGGAAGTAGAAAGAGTGAAGATCATATGATGTCCTGTCACGTTAGTGTCATGTTCTTCATCCACCATGAGAACACAATAAACTTTGAACCTTATGAGCAGGAACCGTCTGAGTTTCTCCTGGAGGACCAACGATGAAGTGAACGTCGGCCATCTGCTCGTTGTTAAACATCAGAGCGTTCCTGCAGACAAACACAACAACAGTCACACGACACATTCAGACAAGACAAACCATTTGAACTTTTCTGGACCAAGTTTGACCATCCAGAAGTAACTTTACAATATCCACAACGTCCCTATGACTTTGTTGTGACTACTAAAAATTGTTTAATTAGATAAAACATCATTTTGACTCAAAACAAGATCTGATTCTCTTTAAACTCAAAACTCCAATATTCAACATCAGTAATTACAAAGTAACATTCAAACTATTATGCTATATGTGTGGTTTCTCATTCCAGATATCTACAAATCAGTCCAATTATTATATTTTGTAATTCCAGTTTTAGATTCTGACCAGTTCATTATATCTACAATGCCACACTGACTAGTTCAAACTTAGTTTAACCTATCTTGAACTAATGTGAATTTAAGACATGTTGAACTTGGATTATGACTCGTCAGACCTGAGTTGTAGATATCTGAAACTGGATCATCATCATAACTAAGTTGCAGACGCCTGTAGAAACAGCAAGTTGATTTTCCAATTTCACCTCTCTCTGAGGGTGGGGTGTGCTGCCTGCCAGCTGTTTCTCTCCTCGCCACCATTGATGCTGCCATTAGTCTGATCAGCGTCTCGCTCACAGATGTTTTGGGAAGTCGACTCCGGGTCGCTCAGCACGATGAAACTCTTCTTGGCCTCCACCACCTCCACCTCGTTACTGTGGGGGAGGCTGGTGGAGAAAAGTTCAGCTGCCATCTCCTCCCCTCCTCACAGAGAGAACAGCGAGGTCACCACTTCACAGCATCATGGCAACTTCCTGTCACATTAAAATCCACATGATCAGGTCTCATGGTTCAACTGAACATAACCTTCATCATCAGATCATCCACGTTGTTAATGAATCCTTAACAAATCAAACTGTTTCCCGTCACACAGACATTTACTTAATGGTTAAATAATTAGCACGTTTGTTAGAATATAGTAAAGATATAGAGATTAAGCCTCAGCTCTTCTTAGTTCTATCATATTTTTATTGTTTGGTCATTGTTGTGAAATATGAGGCTGTGCTGTCAGTCAAACTGTCCATGTCTGTGATTGGTTATATCCAGTAAACCCCACCCCTTTCATGTGCACATGCTTAGATCTTGTTGTGGAAAACCTGAGTTAACTTAACGAGTTGTTAACCAGGCTGTGATCCCCTAAAGATAGTCCTAACCAGGTTAGCTCATTAACCGGTTCAATTAATAACCAGTTCAATCAAAAACCAGTTCAATTAATAACCAGTTCAATCGATAACCTGGTTAATCGATAACCAGTTCAATCGATAACCTGGTTAATCGATAACCAGTTCAATCAATAACCAGTTCAATTAATAACCAGTTCAATCAAAAACCAGTTCAATTAATAACCAGTTAAATCAATAACCAGTTCAATCGATAACCAGTTCAATCGATAACCATTTCAATTAATAACCAGTTCAATTAATAACCAGTTAAATAAAAAAACAGTTCAATCAAAAACCTGTTAAATCAATAACCAGTTCAATCAATAACCTGGTTAATCGATAACTAGTTCAATCAATAACCAGTTCAATCAATAACCGGTTCAATTAATAACCGGTTCAATCAATAACCAGTTCAATCGATAACCAGTTCAATCAATAACCTGGTTAATCGATAAC